CATATGATTTGACTGGTCGAATTTTAAGCACCGAAGGTGCTTAAATCGACCAATCAAATAGCATACAGCAAATAACTTTTAAATTTGTGCAGCGTCACTATATCAAAATATTAACAAGTAATTATACAATTAACCAATCAAATACAATCAAAATGTTTAATTTTATCATGTTTTCATAAACGGTTTTATGACGGTTTCATAAGCAATTTATAAAAAAAATCAACCAATTATACAATCCATACAATTCAATTTTATTATTTAAATCGAGTATATCTTTAAAATATAATATTAACTGTACCATACCTAGGTAATAAATATTTTTATTAGGTACAGTTTTCAAATTAATATATACTATAGTTTGTACCTATTAGGTACATAAAAATTACTAGATATATATAGGTACTTTAGAAATATACTGTACTGTACCCAATACCCAACACTGTACCATACCAAAAGGTATATACTCATTTAATACCGGCAATCTCGCAACATCACATAAATGATTGGATCCAATTTTATGAACTATTATCATTTATTTTTAATAATCACCAGAATCGTTTTCCTAAAAAGAAATTGATGTGTGATGAGATTATTATGCGATGCGATATTTAAAAAAACGATATTCTAGATATTCTTGTTTTCCTAAAAAGAAATTGGTGTGTGATGAGATTATTATGTGATATTTAAAAAACGAGATTCTAGATATTCTTGTTTCCTAAAAAGAAATTGATGTGTAATGAGATTATTATGTGATATTTAGATATATTTCTCGCGTTGTTTTTTTATAATCGAATGATGAAAATTCCTTTTATAGATGAAATTCTGGTTAATTAAAAACTAAAAAATACGTATTAAAGGAGATTCATTGCATAAACAAATTAGGCCAAGAATAATAACCATGCTGCGTGATGGGATGTTCAAGCTAGATTCGACCATTTTTTCATAAACATAAATATTTATAATCATTATTGCATAATCACTTTTAATTTTTACTATATTAATTGCATTGCAAAAATTTCTAAATTATCACCGAAAAAAATAAAAAATGCTGCAGATCTTGTATACGGCAATTTATTTGCATGAAACATCGTAAACACCGCGCCAAAAAAAAAACATTGATTGTTTAGTGTTCCTCTTTTGAAGATCCTTAATAACTAATGCGGATAATTTTTTTTAATCTAGGATCTAACTTCTGCAGATCTTGTATACAGTTAAAATATCAGCAATAGCTTTAATGTAACTTCTAATGAGTATAAGTATTGTGTTCAATCGTAAAAATAACTATTTAATGGCCTTTCATCCACCTCAATTCAATTCACGTTTTCTTTATCACTATTTAACGATCTAAATGAAATCATGACTAATTATGAGTTGAATTGCATCGATTTTGATGAAATTATAGAAATTAATAGTGGTAATTCAGGTGTGATTTATAAATTTGAATGTAAATGTTGCAAAGTTATGAGAGCCCTTAAACGCCTAAGAGATAGTACACAAAATCAAAATTTTAACAACGAGGTAAATGAAAATTTTATTTATTGTATTTAGAATTCTAAGATATTTTTCACCTGTTTAAGCAGGTGATTATTATATTCAGAATAAATATTAGCAAAGATGATTTTTTATCATCTCTAATTGTATCTTATTACTAATATGTTATCGATTATTTAAATTTCATATAAGGTTGAAATCTTGCGAAATGCTCAAGGTCATCCTAACATCATTACTTTCTATGGAGTTGTTAAAGGTACGTCGTTGCTGAATGCTTTCCTAAATTTTACACACAAACA